ATGAAGTTGCGAATGTCACTGGGTTGACAAGTTGAGTCGCCAAAATTGGGTATTCAGTGTAAACAGATACAGACTGATCTTACCAACATTCGAGGAAGATGGCTGGAGATGGCCTCCGAATCGCTGAGTTGTCTGATTCGGTTCGGGCGGACGTCGGCCATTCTCGGCGGTGGCCAAACGGAGAGCTGAAGAGGGCCGAACATCGTGTTCGACGGAGGACGCAAATAGTTGGACGTACACTCTGGCCGAGGTGCCGGCATTTGCCACTTTTCCAGTGTGGACGTGGAGTTCAAATGGCCATTCTAGAATACAATTGGGAGATTGTGAGAGAGCGGCAGGTTGAAAGTGATTAAATACGGCCGTGTTGACCAGCCCCATTAAAAAATATTATTGAAGTTCAGATTGTCCCTAGGCAGGATGGGTGCCGGCAAGCACCGTTCTGCAAGACAGTCAAGTGAAAATGAGGATTTGGAAGGGTCATAGACAATTTATACCATTTTGTGACTAAGGTGTAGACATAGACGGACCAGTCGATCCTGCTGACGCCTCTTTGAGCACGAGACTGTTCAAAAAATGATGCGCATGTCTGAAGGTGTGTAATGGCGGGTGCTGTGAAGAAAAGTTGGCTTCCGATGATTCTCGTGGTTCATGATTGTTGAGCTTACTTCCATCTCAAATGAATGTGTTTGGTGAAGAGATTCGAAGCTGGATCCCATTAAAAGACGACGACCGATTCTTGTTAGCGCCGTTTCCGAGGCAATCTCCCTCGATTCTGGTGAAAAGGTGGTGAGCTTTCGTCAATCGTATGACGAATAACATCAAGTCGATCTATTATTCTGATCATCATAGTCAAGGCAACGGGTCAAGAAAACGCACAGGAATATCCATAAATACTCCATTCCTAAGCTCTGTGATGAGGCTTGAAGTGATTCGGTAAGCTTAAGTCAGATGCCGACCTGGAAGCACGTGATGAGCATGTGTGTATTTATGTGTCTTTATATGTCTTCATGTGTCTGTATATAATTTCAAGACCAAAAGTGATGGCAAAAAGTAGCGTCTATTCTTGACCACAATCACCCCCTCTCTCGATATATTATAAGGAATTATACCATTGCACAAATTGGACACACGCATGGTTATGCGAATGAGATTTTTGTGTGAGCGAGGGAGTGAAATAAAAAGTACAGAAGAGTGACTATGATTAATACAGGAAATACAAGTTGAGTTGCCTCTTCTTTTTAGGTGGCTCAACAGCTATTTATACCCTTGAATCTATAAATAGAGCAAAAGTATATTTAGATAAGTTGTTTGACCTTGTTCTCGAAATTTGGTCGTATTGTCAGGCCGACCTAGAGGAATGCACATTGTTCGGATTCCATGGTATGCATGAGAATTTCCAGAGTCGGACCGTGGAATTGCTACTTTCCCAGACGTATCACCGACATCCTCAGTGAGCCTTGCCAGTCTTAGCACAACACTACAACTCGTCAAAGAGACAAGTGAAGACGATCCTTTGGCAGTTGTCGTATCTCTCCTTTTGTTCAGGGCTATTCACCAATCCTATATCCTCGTATCTCCCCCCCATTCAATATCACAATTTCTTACTTGTTCATCCAAACCTAGTTAATAAATATTCACACTCCTCACTGGATTCCACATTCACCCCTGTGTTTTAAGCGTTGATCCAAGGCTGTCGAATATTCTCTTTATTTATTTACCAGAGTCTCTCTCTTTCCGCGTAGGATGCGTCTCTTATTTGCCTGGTTCAGTGATTTCGCTCGATCGCTGCCACTGTATCCGTGCTACACGAAGCGTTGTGTTCTACACTTAGTCTTAACACTTTCATAGTATGTATCCTCCAGCCTCAATGAGCAAGCTCCTTAGAGCGGAATTTCAAGTACCATGGTAACCTAACTTGACACTCCAGACACCCGCGTGTCATTGTTCGACATGTGCATCGGGAGAATTCCGTGGTCAAGGTTTACTTGGGTCATGCTTGTGGC